GAAGATAGGGAGTACTGGAGCCTAGTAGATCTACTCCAGCATTAGGAAGTCAGTTAAAGCAGTAGTTCAGCACTATGGATAGTTAAGAAGATATGAATTTTGTAGTTGTACATTTCAAGGTAATAAGACGATACGTGAACTTAATGATAATACGAACATTAGAACATAAGAATGGAGGAAACTGCAGCGGGCCTATTGACCCATACTGGGCAGTCCCATTTACACCCAACCCCTATCGCTCATATATCCATCCAACCTATGTTTGAAGTTATCCAGCGTATTCGAGTTAATGATGGTGTTTGGTAACTTGTTCCATTCATCCACTACTCTATTTCCAAACCAATGTTTATTTCCAAACCAATGTTTACCTATCTCGCGTCTAAATCTAAATTTGTCTAATTTAAAGCCATTGTTACGAGTTTGCTCCTGGTTGGATAGTTTGAGTACCTTTGTTATATCACCTTTGTTTAGCCATGACTTCCATTTATCGCCCCTCACTCTGCGTTTCTCGAGGAAGTGCAAATTAAGATGCTTTAACCTGTCTTTGTACTCAAGGTTCCTAATGCCCGGGATTAGTCTTGTCATTCTCCTCTGAATTCTGTAATACGGTGACCAGAGTTGAATTGCGTAATCCAAGTGAGGTCTCACAAGCGTAAGATATAGTTTTAGGATAACCTCGCTAGTCTTGTAACTAACACTCCTTTTTATGAATCCAAGTACTTTATTAGCCTTGTTTCGAGCAAATACACATTGTTTACTTGGCTTAAGATTCCTACTTATCATTACCCGTAAATCTTTCTCACATTCGGATTTCTCTATAACATCGTTGTTCATCTAATATCTGGTTTCTCTGTTTACATCTCCTATACTGAGTACTTTACATTTGTCCACATTGAATTTCATCTGCCATTTTTCAGACCATTCAAATTTTTTTTTTTAGATCTTCCTGTAGTTTAGCGGAGTCCTCGTCAGATTTAATAATACGCCCTATTTTAGTGTCCTCAGCAAATTTACTTATGTTACTGTCAACGCCGATATTTATGTCGTCTATGTATATAATAAATATTAATGGTCCAAGTACTGAGCCTTGGGGTACTCCACTAGTGACGTTACTCAAATCGAATTTAGTGCCGTTAATGCTCACTCGCTGTTTCCTGTCCTGTAACCACGCCCTAATCCATTTAAGGATGTTGCCTTTGATGCCATGTGCTTCTACCTTTCTAATTAGTCTTTCGTGGGGGACTCTGTCGAAGGCTTTGCTAAAGTCGAGATATACCACATCATAATTGTGCCCCTCGTCCACCGATTCGAAAACTGATGAAAAGAATGTTAATAGATTAGTTAGACAAGAACGTCCGCTTGTGAAGCCATGCTGGGAATCATTGATCAATCGGTGCTTCTCCAGGTGATTTCGTATAGAGTTTGAAATGATTGCTTCCAGTAATTTGCCTACTATTGATGTTAGACTGATTGGGCGGTAGTTAGAGGATAGTGATCTATCCCCCTTCTTGAAAATCGGTATTACTTCTTACGATTCTGAAAAAAATTGGTTTCAATTTTTTCCGTCGACGATAATTGCAGATCATTTATATACTTATGGCCACCTTATTATTTTTTCATCTTATTGTTCACATTGCTTGTAAACTTTCACGAAAACAAGTTTTTTCAAGTTTACTCGAGTTGGCTTTTCATTTCTCTGACATATTTACTTTATCTCAGATGTTTATGAATCAAGTAACTAAACATTCCCTACGTTTTGGTTATGCATATGAAGCTGACCTTAATATTTGATAATTAAACATTAGAGGGTTTTCTTCCTCATCGAATATCGTGAATTACTTTTACAGGAATTAAACATCATGTGGTTGAGGAGCCCCGGTCACATCCATTATATCTGTGAGCCGACCTTTATATAATTAGGTCAAAAGAGGTCAAAGGTTAAGGTCATCACAACTCGAGATCTCACTTGTAAACTTTGTGGTCAACCCGACTCTCACACCCTCTGTCACTACATCCCCACTTGCCCTATGACCTCCTCCTACAGGTCCCCAGCCGTTACCAACACCTCTTCCCTCCCTGACCAGATATCCCTCCTCCTAGTGACAGGCCTGGCACTTGACATTATTAGGGACCTGCCACACTTTGCCATAAACAGGTAAATTGTACCGGGAATTTTCCCCCCACACACTCATCATTCTGTCATTTTATGTAACTTGCTGACAAAACCCATGACCCTTCAGGCTTTTATGCCCTTAATGCATGAGTCATAAAGGCAAGCATGAACTCTGCATGCTTCCCAGATGGGCGCTGTAAACGCTACTGCGCTTCACCTCGGGGGCAATCTAAATCTAAAAAAATCTAAGTAATGCGCGGGAAAAAGTTGAACTATTTTCAGTTTAATTCCCAGATAACCATAACCACTCACGGTAAATTGTAACAGAAAGAAGGAATTCTGCAGGTACACGCACACACACACACACACATTAATATCTAAAACTCATAAATATTCTCGTGAGAAGAAATAATTAATCTATTCATTCATTTTGGGTTTGGTGAAAATCGTCATCTTCTGTGCGTCTCCTTACAAAGAATAAAATAATTTCTCGAGTGCGTGCACCAGGTAGCGCCGCCATGAGACGCGTCTTCTCATATCTATGGTAATAAGATCTGCCACATCTGAAAATGGAATGTCTTCTGGCTCGATGATTAGATACAGATATTTACATACAATAACACCTGGATATACGGACAGAAAGTTGTGGAAAACATGAGGAATTGTGTTTATCTTAGTATAAGGATATCTAAGTTGTATATATCACGGTATATAAAAAAAATAATTTGTGATAGAATACGGGGAAAATTATGTTTAATGAGAAAATAACCTAACCTAACCTTAATGAATCAACCAGGTAAAGTTAATTATAAACGGACCTCTAACACTGACTCAGATACCAACGGTGGCAGAATAGATCACCTTCAACTTCGTAAAACAAAACTAAAGACGACACAAAGTACAGTGAAAATGTGTTCATAAACTGTTAACTGGCTTGTCGTAAAAGGACCAAAAATGGTTCACAAATATCCCGACCAACACGAGGTGATAAACAGTGCCATTACTAAACTCTTCTTTCATATGACTCGACAAACCAAGTAAGAAAAAACATCACAAGTGAGAGCCTTTATTTTCCATAGCAAAAAAAAAGAGTAAATAGAAAGAGATAAAGAGAAAGAATAAAGTTGGTTTAAGTTGCAATTTTAATTACATTTAGGTCTCCAGGTGAAATGTTAGTCCCAGGTGAACAACACAGCTCACGAGACACAACCGCGCACCATTTTCACAACCCAGAGTTTACTTAAGAATGAAGAAGGTAAATAAAGCAACAACTGTACGAAATTATAAATGTTCTTTATTATAAAGTACCACATAAGGTAGCTTAAGAAGTTATTGGGTCATGAATATAGTTACAGTTTTCGTTCACAAATTATGAAGCGGAAAAATCATGAAATTGTCTTTATATTCCATGTGGGGTAACAGTACATGTATTGTGCTCAGGCTATGGGCATAATTCCCTAGACACTTGTTAATATCGGGCGTGTATTGGCGCTAGTTGGTGAAAGTTTCTTTTTATTATGATTTCATTAAAAAAAAAGTATAATGCAAAGAAAAATAGGAATCTTGAGTAAATAAATGCCAAAGTCCTCGAGGTTCCCCCCTTTCCACAACCCTCAAGTAGGTGCCAGAAATTCCCAAAAGTGTCGAGAGAATTATGTCTGCTGCTGTACAAATATAAATGACTGAAGAAAAGTATGAAGCAACATCCTGGAACACAGTCACGATAAACCACGATCACTCCTCACCCTGTTATATCACTGCGTTACACAGAGTTTGGTTAAAAATCTTATTTATTATGATTTTTTTTTAATATTGAACATTTTGACACATGGTTACGTGGATAAACACAAAACAGTCATTGAGATAAAAATTTAATTGTTTACATTGAGGCATCGTGTTAAGTAGGAGGGAATCACATACACCATATTTTTATTGTCATACATAATGGAATATACAGTATAAAAAAATTGGAATATGTATATACATTTCAAAGGATTTATACCTTGGGTTTTAACCATAACTTTTACGCCGAAGAATTTTAAAAAGGGTCTTTTAGAACAATAATATTCACAATATTTGTAGACATACGTGAAAAAAATGTGATGTACATTATTGCGAAGAGAAGTGTTGTGCATTTTCCACTCATCATACACAAAGTACTAGCAAAGGGTTCAGCCGGAGTCATAAATACATCACCTAACCCTGTCTGTACTATAACCTGCACTACCAATCAACTGACTAGATTCATCAGGTACAGTACTAATGTGTCACCTGTTCATCCCTGTTGTGTCTACAGTTCTCTGAGTTTTTCGTTTTACACCGTTGCTGCCACGACCTGATTTACAGCATTATCGTACGTGGTCAATATTTACTTGTTACTAAAAAAAAAATAAAAAAAAATAGATGAATAAATGAAAGTACAGTGGTATAATAACGATAATAATAATAATAAAATGTTGACTTAACTGTAATATACAGCAATAATAAACTAAATTAATAGGAAATCAAGTAAATATATTGGAATACTGTATGTAAAGCCAGGGTCGTTCATCTTACCGCTAATCCCCGGTTTGGGACACAGCCTGTCAGCTCTGCATATGTATGTACGTACGTGTGTGTGTGTGTGTGTGTGTGTGTGTGTGTCTGTACTAAACATAACGAAAACGGGTGGATACATTTTGAGTAAATAATACATTACTTGGTTGTCGAATAAGACTATAGGTTAAAGGTCAGTGAACTTACCTAACGATACAATCCACCAATCAATAACAATGAATTGATTATCAAATGCTTTCAGAGGTTATGCTGACCTTCCCATGTAACTCATTAGTTGATTGGCTTTTCTTGTTTCGTGGCCGTCTTGGATCTCTCCCTCCACCTCCCCCACCTTCCCTCAACGCTTGGAGTAGTTCTATTATAACTCTTACGTCCGTGTCGCTCGTTCATCACTGGTTAATAATAGTAAACAACTTTTCGTGCATCTTTGATTAGTTGGGGATTTTGGTCTGAATTTTACAGTCTTTGTTATCAGTAAAAGCCAAATGTGAACACTTTTAGCACGCACTGATGGTACAGCTTCCCCTCTGGGATGAGTGCAGTTGTTGAACATATGACTCAGGTTTTCAAAGGCACTTTAGCCCTTATTGATTCTTCTTTTGATTACATCTAAACTGATTAATATTAAGTGACTTTAAATGTTCCATCCCCCTCACATAGTTTTAACATTTACGAAGAAAATTCCAATTTGTAGTTCCATTAGTTATTAGAATATATTGTAATGTCTAATGATTTTAAAGAAACAATGATCAGCTGAGAGTATTGAGACATCTAGACGGTGTTAAGACTACATTAGTAAATAAACTTGTACTGATCAATTAATCCCATTCATGAATATTTGATAATCTTTTCTCGCTAAACTTGTTCATTCTCGTAAAATACATCTTCATTCCCTGTTTATATTATTTAGATACATGAACGTAATATAACATTTTAAAATTGAAAACCTTCGTCGTCTACTACCGCCAAAAATATATTTAAACTACGAGTTTTAGTAGAAATGTTTCTATTTGCCATTAAAAAATATATATATGATTTTATTGAACTTACCTCTGTCTTACTGGTGAACTTATGCTAAACAGCAGTGCAAGCAGAAGTGGCTGATCACCGTCAGTAGTAAATATTTAAACCAAACTCTATCAGTCACGGTGTATATAATTTACCAAAGTTAAAGCTACAGCTAATATGGTGACTGATCATGGAGCCAAACACTCGTATATCACAGTTAGAAGTTTTTAATTCGTTTTGTTTTTTATAACTAATTTCACGAATAAGAGATTTTTTTATGTATTTTTTTTTCATTTTTTTAGTAAAGTCGGAAACACACTCAAGTTAGTATAGAAATGTAATGTTGATAAAGGGACTTAACGATACACTTCGTTCACACTGCCCTTCCTATACTGTACTTTATTTCTATTATATTTTCCTTTGTAAGAAATATCTATTAGAGCAACAGTTCAGGTTTTCAGTTCACATCAAAAGTCGTTCATTATCTGATTGAGTTTTCACTGTTTGTGTGATAGTGTGAGCTCCCTGGCGCATCATCCGCACCTCTAGCTTCGTAGCTGCCCAGTGGCGCCATTCCTCAGCTTCTTCGCGACGTGGAAGGCGGACTGCTGTTCGGAGAGTCGTGACACGAATTCCTACTAGGAGAGGAGGCTAATGGCTCCTCCCTGAGCCCCTCAGGTACATTACCTTCACCCTCACTAGCAGACATCCGCAAATAATTAATTAAGCTGCTTCTGGCCTCCTGGTGAGGGCTGCTGCTGTATCCCGACGATCCGCTGTTTTCCTGTTGGTGGTGGGCATGAGGCAAGTTACTAAAACTAGCTAGGTGACGAGGATTGTCTAAGTGGAGGCGGGATTCCAGGTCAAGGTTGTCATAGTGGCTTGTGGTGGGAGGTGGGTCGTGGGACAGACACGGTGGCCGCTGCATGGTGGTGAACTGGGTGGTCTCCGGCCGACGCTCGCGGGCTCCGAGAGTAGTGTAGCCTGTGGGAGTGCTTGTGCCTGCTGAAGAGGGAGATATTTATTCAGTAAAATCGTCATCGAAATTTACAAATGAGTTAGGTATATAGTTCAGCATTCTTATAAACAATGCAAAGATTAATTGTACACAAACTCGGCATGTATACAACCGATGTGTAAACTCGGTACTGCGGGCATACAAATAATGGTTAACAATAAGACAGTTCGACTAACAACGCCAACAAGTGCTTATTTACAGTAGGGTCCTTTGTTTAAGCTCGTTTTGTAATCAGCAATAGAAAATCTGCAGGAATACAAGTGAACATTAATTTATAGACGAATACAACAAGCATTACATTGCGCTTAGATAATCCTAGGATGGCGAATCACTACAACAATACAACATTCTATGGTTAGCGGTATAGAAAATCACTCTTCTCTTCCTTGTCTGTTATCCGAAACGACTATAAAAAAATAAGATAAAAATCATTGAGTAAAACTTCATGTTATATGTTTAATAAATCATCAGTGGAAAGAAAAAATGTGTGTTAGTTTGTATTCCACGAAACAGAAAACAAAACTATGAAATATTGTTAAGTTAATCTACAGCTGTAACTCCTAAACTTGTTACGTGGGAATGACTGTCTCCCGTTGACACACACACAACAAGAATTGGATTTAATACGAACTAACACACACACACACACACACACACACACACACACACACATACACACTCAAATAAAAGCAAAATATCAATGTCATTGTGTCGTCGTGTATAACAGGTGTTTCAATCCCTAAAATAAATCTGTCACAAACAAATATCTCCAGTGTGAATAAGATAGAGGGAAGGAGAGATAGTGTCCATACCTGATGTGAATGATAAGAGACTGCGCTTGGGGTCGATGTTGTCAGTCCTGAGGTTGTACAGCCCAGAGGGATTTAAACTGGAGTACTCGAGTGAATTTTGTTGTCGTAGGCGTTGGTGGGTTTGTGACGAGCGTGGGAGTGCATGGAGGGTATCTTGGATCAACTGCGGCGTCGTCTGTTGTTGTAGACTCCCAAGAGATGACAGTGGACGGAGGAAACCCTGGGAGTAGACGCGGGAGTTGTTGCTGCGGTTGGAACAGAGAGAGAACTGGTCATCAGCTGGGTAAGTGTCCGAACCCCTCCGTTGGGGGTCTTCCTGAAGTGAATTATCATAGAAACTAGAGGCCATCGAACACACGTCAGGCTCATTCAAGAAGTTAACCAAATCATGTTGACACTGAGAGATTTCGCCTCCCTGTGACGACGCCGCGCTTGCACTGGATGATGAAGAGTCCTCACTGATCCATCGTTGAGAGGGACCAGCAGTAGCCGCTTGACTCGTCTTGGGAGTAGTGTTGTTGAGGACGAGGTAGGTGCTCTTGGTGGTAATAATTCCTCCGTTATGGTAAGGTATGGCGTGAGGGTTGGCTGTGATCGAGTCATCAGCTGTCGCCAGAGTCCTTAGTTCACTTTCCTCTAGTCTGGTTTGTTCTTCTTCCTGGAGGTAACACGAAGAAAAATGTATTATAGTAAAATATTGTCATACTTAATACTTGAGTTATGAATGTATCAATTAAATTTGTGGATAGTAAATTAATGAAAAATGTAAATCACCTACAAAATAAATAAAAAGAGCGCAAAAGGTCTCCCACTTATGGTTATATTATATAAGAAGAAGAAAGGTTGACAGAGTAGTTTGAGTATCGCGTGTTGACATTATCCCGACCAAACAAGCTGGCGGTTTTCTCCTGATGGTGGTTAGGGGTGACTACAGCAACACAGCCCCACAGCACACACATTATGCAGATAGGTGTCGATTCATCTGTTAAAATTCGAGGTTCCTGGACAAAATAGGAAAACTTTTTCTTTGGATTTTTTAAAATTATTCATAGAAAATGTTTTTCATTCGCGTCCCGTGACGATAGCTTTCGTATATAGTGGGATAGTTCACAACTTCTTGATGAACTTGAAATATGATCTGCTCCTTTATTCTTAGCAACCATCTCATATACAGTATTTCGTTCAAGTATTAATGTACTTTTTAGAATTATCTCTTTTGTGTGATTCTCATATCAATATTAGTTTAACTTTATCTTAAATACCTTGTAATAGAATTAAGATTGTAACTCGACGGAAGTCTATTGATTTGCAACTTCATAATTTGTGTCTACTTATAATTGTAACTCTTTAATGTTTTGAATGAAGAAACTTCTTTTTCCCAATAGAGTACAGTGCTTACCTGTACACCTGTATTACAGAGTAACGGGGATGATTCTGATATGGAAAACAAACTGAACTTAAATAAACAGTTCATGTTTCAATTAATGGTTCAAACATTCGTATAGATCTGATATGTAATTCTCCGGTGAGGATTTTTTATAAAAATTCATTCATGGCTCCAAGAACGCGAATGAAAAGTAAGCACATAATAATACGGTGAAAATGAAAAGTATAAACAAAGTATTAATGTTAAAACTCTGTTGTGTGGTAAGTGGTGTTATGGAGGGTGTTAACAAGACTGGCCAGACTTTGTTGACCCAACTGACGAGGCTGGACGGAATATTTACTCTCCACAATTCTCGCCAGCGTCCTCTGCCGACCCTTGCGTGGCGGTGGATCAGGATGAACGGAATGCGGTAATCCTTTTTCCCCACCGACCATCACAGAACCCCGCTACTCCCACTCTAAGTATTCACCGTTGTATTACCACAGTTCATTGTATGGACCTAAAAACCCAAAGAAAAAGGAACTTAGAGGGATAACATTTCTCTATGAACTTAAAAATACAATAATATTATTTTTTTTACAGTGGGGCAGCTCTCCACTGTACAGCTCGCAGCTCTGCGTTAGTGGATTTTACGGCGTAACTAACTTAATTGAGAGCAGACGCAGAGCCATCGCATTCCAGCCCAGTGAAGCTTGTTTGTCTTTACCCATAAAGTACCGGGTTCTCCTCCGTCTTGTTGGAATATCATCATCATCATCAATATCATCATCATCATCATCATCATCATCATCATCATCCATATAGTAACAAGTATAGTGTTTTAAGTACCAAAGGACTAAGCTACTGAGTTAGGGTTTACATGTGATACTAGTAACCACATTTGTGTAGCACTTTCTTCCACGAGTCAATTTCTGGTATTTCAGTTGAGTTTTGTGGATAATATGAAAGGAGGAAATTCTTGTGTATCAAATCACCTGGACGTAACGGGTAGTTAAGAAAGACCCGAGAGAGTTTTCAAGATATACGGTGTTATTGTTGATAATTTCTATAACATGTATATTTATTATTTATTTAGTGTCAACGTAAAACCCATTAAAAAGTGTTTTCAACTCTGGTGTGACGTCATCAGCCACCCAAGGAACAATTTAAGTCGTTAAGTGAGAGTTTATATAGTTCACTTAATGTTGAATAAGCCGTGGAGTATATCGTGATACATATCTCGCTAAAATAAAAGCCTAATAATGTGGGAATATAGTACATAAGACAATTTTTTTTCTCTAGAGCTGTTGTTTAAGGAATGAATATACGTCGTTTATACTAATTTAATATATACATGACAAGAAAAAAAGATGATTTGCGTGATTTGTTTAGATTAAACTGATAATCCTCGATACGTAACAGTTAATCAAGGTTGTGTCGCTGCAGGGCATGAGTTCTAATTATAATTCTTACAGCTCACTGACCCACTACACGTGTAGATGGAAGACTAGTGAAGGAGAATACTCTATGTTCAATGTTTATGTGAAAGAAATAATCTGAAATAAGAGAGGGCGGAGCACTGAGGGAGAAACCTACCTGGTAACCTGTTGGGGGACTAGTGAAGCTGTTGGTGGACATGGTGGTCAGGGGAAGGTGGTGGTTCGAGTTGAGTGCGGGTGTCGCTGCTGGCGTGGCGGCACACGACCCTAAGGCCGAGCTTTTCGATGACAGCGTCACTGTTGGGCACAAGGGAAAACATTTCATGATTGTGGGTGGTGTGTGTCGGGGGGCTGGGTGGGGGGGCTGGGTGGGGTGGTAGTAGTAGAACAAGATGTGTATCCTTTAATCATCATCAGTAAAGATTTATTATTTGTAAATCACAAATCAAAATACGCTGATGAAGATGAATACCGAAAACTATTAAGGCAATAAATATGGGACACAAATGAGTAACTTATGACGTCCAATAGTCTAATGAACGTACTGGAGGGGTTTCTATTCATGGCTCGGCGGCGCACGAAGCAGGCGATGATGGAGATGTTGAGGGCGAGGAGGGCGGCGCCCGTCAGTGTCATGATGAGCAGGATGAGACGAGGTACTCTAGAGCCGCCCTCCTCCGTGCTGTTTGAGTCATCCTCAGTCCTCGGGTTCCCACTTCCCACAGGTAACTTGCCTGAGGTGTCTGCCACATCCTGCATGATGGTCGAGTCGCCACTCCTGGCTGTTAACACGACAACAACAAAACATCGGTGGTGTAAATATGTAGCATAACGACGTGAAATGTTATGTGTGTGATGTTAAACTCAAGCTCTGGTTCATTTTCAAAGCATAATTGAATTTACATGTAGTCATATAAATAGAAATACAGTAGTCGCTCTGTCTGGCATAAACCAAACTGCATATGTCGTTAGTGTTCACTCTTTCCCTTATAAATTTTTCGATCACACTTTCCACAACTTTGATAACCTGGCCTAAGAGCTGCAGGTCCCTACACTTTACTCTTGTAAGTATCCAAGATCACACTCTTCCTCTAGACAGCCGGAACAGTGCATTCCATCATGGTTGCATTAATCAGTTCTGTCACTATGAATATGGAAATGCGACTCACCGAAGCCTTGGCGAGTCAGGCGTGACTCACTGAGGACCACGAGAAGAAGATTTTGACTAAACATGACGAGGCAGGCGTGACTCACCAAGCAAGGTGACGATGGAGCGGGAGACGAAGTGAGAGCGGCCGTGGTGGTTCCTGGCCTGGATGGCGACCGTGTACTCCGTGGCTGGCGTCAGGCCCGTCACCCTCGCCGTCGACGTCCCTCCTCCAGGCACTTCCATATACTGTTATCACAAGGTGACGCTTAGTGTACCATAGGGAAGTGGTCGTTTTGTTATCAGACACAGTTGTTAAATGAAATGTCCCATCCATCGTGTATATATTTGCTGTATGTCATGTTTTTCCTATGGATCAGATGGTAATCCATCCTATGGCAGTATTTGGTTCTAAATGTGTTTTATAGCACGGCTTTTCAAGAGAGCTGCGGCTTTCAAAAGGATTATCCACGTCAATAGTATTATCGCTGTAAAATTTATTCTGTAAGTCAAAAGAGGAGGTGGGGCGCTGTGTGCAGCTGGGAGGTGTTCTAATTATATATCAGTGACATGACAGGTCCGATTCAGTATTCACTAACAGTGGCATTAAGTGACAAAAGACTAAATTCTTACTGGCTAAATATCCCCGGGAAGATCAGTTCGTTACGCTGCTGAGAGATAGCCTTCTATAACTCACGTTACTGAGACGAAATGTTATGTTACGGGCAGGTCCATAAAACACATACATATATACACACACACATAATATACATACACACACACACACACATAATGCATGCAGTGAGATGAGGTGTATTACTACTGGTATTCAATTATTTTTCCTATAAATGAATAATTCTTACTCAGTTCACACTAAAGAATTATAGAGTGAACATAAATAAATCCCCAACGTGAGTAACACACACACACACACACACACACACACACACACATTAGATACAGTCATATACAGAAGAACATCTGGATTATTGTTCTGATGGCTGTAGTGTTCACCACATTTATGGTAACTAATGGGAAAACTTGAACTCTCAGTAAGTCAGAGGTGTACAAAACATTGGTGTCGTTTCCGTCCGGTTCAACAGGGAGGTTATAAAGCTCCAACGTTAAAAAAATAGTTACCTCAGTTGAAACAGCCAGGAGGCTGTCTTTCTGATCTAATTCCTGATGCTGCATCCCATAGTAACATATTCCAGCCATTATGTATAAAGCACCGTGTTTGTTTATCTCTGTGTGAATGTTTGCTATTACAGGAACAAATAAAACAATACCTAATTAAGTGAGTAGAAAGGTGAATACCTGGTAGACGAGTGATCCCGAAGGCCTGTACTTGAGGGTGTAGCCGCTAGGGGCGCCGCCGTCCAGGTTGGGAGTCCAGCTGAGCCACACCTCCCCGCCCGCTACCTTGCTTACCTGTTGAGGGAGGGAGGCGGTGTTAGTGTACTGGGGAGTATGTTAGTGTACTGGGGAGTATGTTAGTGTACTGGGGAGTATGTTCGTGTACTGGGGAGTATACTAGTGTATTGGGGAGTATGCTAGTGTACTGGGAGTATATTAGTGTACTGGGGAGAATGTAAGTGTACTGGGGAGTAATTTAGTGTACCGGGAGTATGTTGGTGTACTGGAAATGTGACAATTTACTGAAAATGTAAAAAATTTTCTAAAGGAATTGTCATCAAAACACTTGTATTATGTCATTGGTCCATTGGATGATACTAACGGTAAAGTTTATGGGCGGGTGTGGGCGTGCGGGTGGGTTGAGGGTGAAGAGGAGGTTCTGGGTGCCGAGTTGGTTGTTGGCAGTGCAGCGGTAGGTGGCGTAGTCCTGTGGCTCTACGTCCTTGATCTCCAGCACTGACGACCAAACCACTAAGTCGTCCACCAGCTGTACCAAGACGCAACACCAGGAATTAGAGAGAGAGAGAGAGAGAGAGAGAGAGAGAGAGAGAGAGAGAGAGAGAGAGAGAGAGAGAGAGAGAGATCTTTGTAAAAACTACAAAAGAGTTTAATGGAGATTTGCTGTGAACTTCTCCCCAACTTATATCGTTTATCAAAGAGAAATTTTATAGCTTAGGTGAAAAATGAACCAATAATTCTGTGAGGCTTAAAAAATATAGTAATGGACCCAAAATAAAGCTCGATTTAACCTGTATCTATTGGTGCGTAAACCTAACTATCCAGCGGTCTGTCTGTCTGTCTGTCTGTCTGTCTGTCTGTCTGTCTGTCTGTCTTTCAGTCGGGAGAGATATTTAAATTTCCTGATAAACTTGTGATAAACTACAAAAGGTATGTTTGTTTGTCTAGTTTTTATCATGGTAACAAACCAATTTCACCTCTCTCATCACTAAGTCTTACCTCAGGCTCGTGGATGGTGTACTTGTCACTGTTGAGGAGGTTGAGGCCACCTTGGTTCCTCCAGACAAATGTGGGTGGCGGGGCGGCTCGTACCCGACACAACAACCGCCCACTTTCGCCTACCGCCGCCCACGAGTTTTCACTTTCATTGATGTCGTCAGCAGCCGTCACCGCCTCTAGAGACAGACACACACACCATTCCTTACCACTCAAACTCTACTTTATTCCCCTTAATATTATGTCAAACTCTCTCTAAACATTGTCTATGTATATTTCGTGTAAACGGGTTGAAGGTAATTACACAGAACAACTGACGGTTCGTTATTGATGCCTTAATAAATCGCCTATGAGGGACTCGATTTTTCGTTAATAGATTGCAATCGAAGTATTTTACCAATGATGTATTTAAGTTCACAGACACATGAGGTAATGTTCAGGGGTATTAGTTTAATGTTTCCCATCAAATAACACAACAGCAGGTATTATAAAGAGCAATCATTATAACTAAATAAGGTAGCTGTGTTAATATGGTTTGTCTGTTTCGCTGCCCACACGATGACTCTGTTCTTACCACAAAATGTAAACAAACTGACGTATGTCTTGTACAGCTAATATATTAAGCGTTTTCTCAAACCTTTACTGTGTTATAAAACTTGGGTAGAATTTACTGTCATATTATGAAGTGAGAATACCTCGTCAGCGTGTGCTCATAACCGTGAGGGCGGACCCGTCACTACCAAGGCTTCACCAAACTTCTGTTGTATGTGATTAACTCTGACAGTGAGAAGAAACGGTGCCTTGCTCGCGTTCTTCAACTTCATCATGAATATAAGTGCATAAAGTGAGTTCATATGCATCACAGTTATTCATTCACAACGATCAGTTAGAATTACTCGTTCTCTCTAGCTCATAGACCATGAGTTAGAGGCACTTTATTAATTGTGGACGATCTGTATACAACATGAAAAACATTGTGAAGACATTTGGAAGTATCCAATTTCTAGAGAATTAAAACACTTCCAGAACTGTAAACGTAACCTCGATAGTCCGTGGAAGGGTCCCGATTGAAATCCCGATCGTTTACAAGTGAACCACAGAAAGTAATGCAAAACTACGTCTCAACAACTAAAGTCTTAAGCGCGTAGTTATGATAATTGCACTAGTCATCAATAATTTAAAAAAAATGAGATAAAGTAAATAAACAACTGTAATGATGTCATGCACGTCGTTATGTTACATCATAGACGACGACAACAACAACAACACGTCGTCCATGTAAACAACAGTCATCTCAGGTACTCACGCTCGACAACCACGTAGGTCTTGGCCGGGGGTGCCGAGGCCACCACGTTGTGGGCGTGGCAGAAGTACACGCCCGTGTCCGACCGTGTCGCTGACTCTATCACCAGCCGCGCCACGCCCACACCTACACCCAGGGCGACCCCCGAGCTGTGTGCCATGACATGGAGAACAATGAGTTTATGGGTAATTGTCAACACAAAACAGATCGACTTTGAGGAGTGAATATTATGGCTTTCAGAGGTATGTGTGTGTGTGACTGGGAATCAAAGGCAGTGTATTCACTGAAGCACTGGGATAGGAAGACCCACTGCATACATGATTTACAAGAGTTGGATTCACGACCTATATTTGGCGAAGGTGTGTGGAATTTTTGATCTGGGTGAAGTAGGTGACCGGGTTTCAGGTCCAGATGGGTTGGGGTGAAGGGTTATGACTCACCTGTTGGGGGAGTGGATGGGGTTCTTGGTCCAGGTGAGGTGAGGGACCGGGTTGCCGGCGGCGGAACACTTGGTGCTCACCCTGTCGCCCTCTTCCACCTTCACACGATCACCTGTCAGCACCTTTTCTGGACCGTCTGGGAAAGGCGTTTAATTTTACATAACCAAGAGTTATTTTTTTCGTAAAATGGACTATATTTCTTGTCTCTAATTAAACACAAAGGTAATATCAAATCCAAGTACAACTGCCAACTCCAACATCTTGATGATAGCCTTCATAACCTCCCGAATCCCTGCCAAGAGGACAGCTGACACATTTACCCCAATTAAGAGCCATAAAATCGCGTGCTGCCACCTATACAAAGACACCTTAATATACTCCGCCGCTGCCAGTAACTCACACTGCACATTAACGGCGAATGAGGCGTTGATGACGCCCCTGTCGGTGAGGGCGCTGACAGAGTAGTTGCCAGCTTGTTCCCTCATCACTCGCGCCAACTGCAGCTTCGCCGTTGTCACCTGCAGCGTCTCCTGCCCGCGATGCCACAAGTACCTGTAACACAGAGAAGCTGCGTTACTCCACAAGGTCTTCACAGTCAAGTACAGTTACCGTTAGCGTCACACAACTTGCCATGTACTCTCACCGTCACACAACCATCCAAACATGTCTGAGGGAGGATGGTTGTGCTGTGGTGTTGGACATAAAGTAGTATCAGGTGGACAGTCACCATCAACATGTTTGTCGTTTTGCCTCACCAGTATGAGAGATTGTGTTAATCCACGTCGAAAATCAAAGCAATGTATTGTTTTTGTTTTTTTCATTACTGTCATAACTTTCATCTCAACGCTAGAAGTATCGTGTGTTTCTCGTCTCTAATGCCGCTGTTTGTGCGTCATCACCACACAGTGTAGTTGCTTGTCCTGGCTCTGGTCCGTCCTCACCCTCAATGTTACGTGAGAGCCTCAACAAGGTGGTGGGTGTTTGTGTACGTGTTGTGTCACAGGCTCCAGCTAACCATTGTCACCTTCCCCAGACAACAGCTGCCTTATTACATTCCCTATTTCATATAAAGTATGTCCACTCACCCCCAGCGTCTCTGTACACCCGGTTCATAACAAAGTGTGGTGTGTGGCGACGACCACCGCAATATAACAACCACCCCTATACGATGAACTCGTTATATATGTAATTTATCCTGATCTATATTTTGGTGCTACTTAGACACAGGAAGACAGGTGGTCCCCTGGGGTGCCTAAAGTTCAGGTGGTCCCCTGGGGTGCCTAAAGTTCAGGTGGTCCCCTGGGGTGCCTAAAGTTCAGGTGGTCCCCTGGGGTGCCTAAAGTTCAGGTGGTCCCCTGGGGTGCCTAAAGTTCAGGTGGTCCCCTGGGGTGCCTAAAGTTCAGGTGATCCCTGGGGTGCCTAAAGTTCAGGTGTCCCCTGGGGTGCCTAAAGTTCAGGTGGTCCCCTGGGGTGCCTAAAGTTCAGGTGGTCCCCTGGGGTGCCTAAAGTTCAGGTGGTCCCCTGGGGTGCCTAAAGTTCAGGTGGTCCCCTGGGGTGCCTAAAGTTCAGGTGGTCCCCTGGGGTGCCTAAAGTTCAGGTGGTCCCCTGGGGTGCCTAAAGTTCAGGTGGTCCCCTGGGGTGCCTAAAGTTCAGGTGGTCCCCTGGGGTGCCTAAAGTTCAGGTGGTCCCCTGGGGTGCCTAAAGTTCAGGTGGTCCCCTGGGGTGCCTAAAGTTCAGGTGGTCCCCTGGGGTGCCTAAAGTTCAGGTGGTCCCCTGGGGTGCCTAAAGTTCAGGTGGTCCCCTGGGGTGCCTAAAGTTCAGGTGGTCCCCTGGGGTGCCTAAAGTTCAGGTGGTCCCCTGGGGTGCCTAAAGTTCAGGTGGTCCCCTGGGGTGCCTAAAGTTCAGGTGGTCCCCTGGGGTGCCTAAAGTTCAGGTGGTCCCCTGGGGTGCCTAAAGAGTTCAGGTGCCTAAAGTTCAGGTGGTCCCCTGGGGTGCCTAAAGTTCAGGTGGTCCCTGGGGTGCCCTGGGGGTTCAGGTGGTCCCTGGGGTGCCTAAAGTTCAAGGTGGGTCCCCTGGGGTGCCTAAAGTTCAGGTGGTCCCCCTAAAGTTCAGGTGGTCCCCTGGGGTGCCTAAAGTTCAGGTGGTCCCCTGGGGTGCCTAAAGTTCAGGTGGTCCCCTGGGGTGCCTAAAGTTCAGGTGGTCCCCTGGGGTGCCTAAAGTTCAGGTGGTCCCCTGGGGTGCCTAAAGTTCAGGTGGTCCCCTGGGGTGCCTAAAGTTCAGGTGGTCCCCTGGGGTGCCTAAAGTTCAGGTGGTCCCCTGGGGTGCCTAAAGTTCAGGTGGTCCCCTGGGGTGCCTAAAGTTCAGGTGGTCCCCTGGGGTGCCTAAAGTTCAGGTGGTCCCCTGGGGTGCCTAAAGTTCAGGTGGTCCCCTGGGGTGCCTAAAGTTCAGGTGGTCCCCTGGGGTGCCTAGTTCAGGTGGTCCCCTGGGGTGCCTAAAGTTCAGGTGGTCCCCTGGGTGGTCCCCTGGGGTGCCTAAAGTTCAGGTGGTCCCCTGGGGTGCCTAAAGTTCAGGTGGTCCCCTGGGGTGCCTAAAGTTCAGGTGGTCCCCTGGGGTGCCTAAAGTTCAGGTGGTCCCCTGGGGTGCCTAAAGTTCAGGTGGTCCCCTGGGGTGGTGGTCCCCTGGGGTGCCTAAAGTTCAGGTGGTCCCCTGGGGTGCCTAAAGTTCAGTGGTCCCTGGGGTGCCTAGTTCAGGTGATCCCTGGGGTGCCTAAAGTTCAGGTGATCCCTGGGGTGCCTAAAGTTCAGGTGATCCCTGGGGTGCCTAAAGTTCAGGTGATCCCTGGGGTGCCTAAAGTTCAGGTGATCCCTGGGGTGCCT